CAAACGAAAACCGTAATTAGCACGTATAACCACTTTTGTAAAAATTCCCATCTGCTTGGATAGTTATTATAGCAATTGTAAGCAGAACTTGTTCATAACTTTTAAACTACTGTTCATTTTATTCTAATTGTCTATCTTATTTGTCTAAATCATTAGTTTCATGTAGCATTATTGTATTAATACCAGTTGTATCAATTTTGTCTTTACATTTGAGGTCTCGAGTTTTTGCGTAAGAAAATACTTTTGTCCTTTTATTATGAATTTTTCAACCGATTCTTGTATCAAACAATTAATGGCGAGTATTTGTACTAATAAACAATCTTGATTTCCCACAAAAACGACTTTAAAACGTTTTAATTTTGATAGCCATATTAACGTTTATTCGCCCGAACAGTATATATTTATTGTATATTCAGTTGTTTCGATTCGAAAAAATATTTTAAACAAATAACAATAACTGATTTAATCAATTTAATATTTTTCATTTTACTTTTATTCAATTTGTATTTCAACAACAAATAACATCAAGCTTTTTGAGTTTTGAAAGATCAAATTACAGCATACCTTTTCTACATATAAATTCAGTTGTGAGTAAAATAAGATTTGATAGTAATGAAAGTTGAGATAATAATTTGTATTTTTATTAATATATTTCAATCCTAATACCTGTAATGATTGTAGAGAGAACAAAAATATATATAGAAAAAATAACTTTGAAAAAATTTTCAATCTGTTATTCAAGTGTTTCAACATCTTCAGAAAGTTTTAATGATTTCCATTAATTTATATAATAATGCTGATACACATGTGTTCTGAACCGAATGAAAACCAATGGTTAACTGCCGGTATACCGATCGTATAACTGATGAGTTAACCGCCGGATTTTGGCTCTATTCAAAGGTTTCGAATAAAACCGACGAAAGTTGAACACAATATTCCACATCCAAAAAGAAAAAGAAGTTGGCTTGAATTTCGTATAAAAATTCGGAGATGTTCAAGTTCCATCAATTTTTGATATTTTCCTACTGAAACCGATTTGTATGTTTTCACTTTAGTACGAAGATTCAACTTTCTTACTATAGAACTCAATGTTCATAATAAAATTTTTACGATAGAAAATTGAACAATAATATAGAATAATTCAAAAAAGAAAACTATATAGTAAATTTTGATTTTTTTCTCTCATTTTCTTTAGCGAAAAAATATTGCAATACAAATATAAGAGTGTGATTTATCTAATTATTTTAAAAACAATAATTAGAAATGGTTTTTAATTAGTATTGCATAATCACTGTGTATGAAGATTTTTATGGATTTTCATATATTATACTAGAACAAATAAATTAAGACTATTTTCATTTGAACGTGAAATCCTTTTTTTTGTCGTTTTAATAAATGATAACCCTATCATAAAGTGGTGTCATCTCCAACCGACTAGTTTCATTCAGTTCAAGTTGATTTATTTCTTCTTGTCTGGTGTTGTGTTTATCTCGACCAATAAATTGTTTTTTCTTATTGTATCGATATACATACATTGTTCGATGTAAAGAATGTGATTAAAAATTAATTGATACTAGCTTTTATTGAAATATGAAATTAGATTGTAAGATTAAAATTCAAAATCGACAAAGAACAAATGGATTATCAACACTAAAAAGTGCTAAAGGTGTTATTGGCCTTGCAAAATCAAATAATGATGAATGGGTTCTTATTGTTCGACTTTTCAAAGATACGAATGCTACACAATACAAGGTAGTTAGTTTTTCAAAAGAATTATTCGTATTGAAAAAGACGAATAATTAAATATACAGATAATATTAGAATTAAACATAAAAATGACTTTTATGATGAATTTTTTCATAAAAGTTAAAACTCAAGTAAATAGCTACGATGATCAACAAGTGAAATAAGTTAAAAAGTGTTACCTTTTCGATAATAGAATATTAAAGAGTTTTATGTCCAAAGATTCCAGTTATGTTCAATCTTAATTAAATTGTAATAGTATTCAATTCAGAATTGATTAATGTTTTTGATTTTTGTTAAATAAGCATCAGAGGTACAAACAGATCCTTGGATCTACCCACTTGATATAGACACCGATTCTGGTTTTCGAGGTTGTCATAGTGCAAGTAGGTCGCCTGTTTGTAATCTATATTGCAATAAAAATCTCCGTTTTTTTTTTGAGTGGACAATGCAGACATCAAAACATACAGTAGAAAGCTTTTTCTGCTGAAAACTGAGAAATAAATCTTTTTCTCATTTGGAATGGATACAATCATACTTAGTAATAAATAGTGATTATATTGTGCATTGTCTACATATCAATTTTAGTAAGCTACTGTTTCCCCTGACTAGTCAGTTATTATTATAATTATTTAGTATCAGATGTTTACTGTCTCTGATTCCCATGTATATTGTAGAAATAGGACAGAACTTGAGTTTTCTTCTTCAACTAATTCATAAAATCCATTGAAAATATTCTCACTCAAGAAGAGAGTTTTTTTTCTTAATATTAATATCTTTTGTTTTTGCCTTTTCTCGACCGTTAACCACTGTAATGAATTATTTAGATAGACGTGACTGCCATGTACTAGCAACCTTTTACTTTCATTCAATTATCATTATAATATCGGTTTGTAAAAAAAAAGAAAAGGTACATCGACCGTAACAAGTAAGCCGAACTAAATGTCAACCAGGCATATTCGAATCTCTAATACGAGTATAATTTACTAGTGTTATAAAGCTTGTGAAAAACTGCTTACAATTGGTTGAAGATATGTTGTAGCTATTTTTTTTCCTTAATTGTTACATAATTCAACGAAAAAAATTCGAATCAAAATATTCTTTCGAATGAAATAATCATGATAGAATTTCCTTACATAAATCATTTAATTATTTTCAAGAATCACAGAAAATCATTTAAAATATTGTTTGACATGACTAAATTCTTTAGTAATTTTTATTATTTTTTAGCTTCGTGAAAATGTTCAATCTCTTCTTCATAAATGTATTAATAATGGTATGGCTACTATTCAAATCAAAGTACCATCTCATGATATACAATTATCTGAAGTAAGATTAATGATTTATTAAACTTTTTTTCTTTCTAGATAACTCTTTTTATTTTCGTTTTATAGGCTAATGTTGAATCACTAAAAACTTTACTTTCAAGTATTCGTTTAGCATCAACCGGTAATAATCTTCCATCATCAATAAAATCAACATCTATAAATATTGTTGAAAAACTCCAACGACCAATACTTCAACTTATAATTAATCAAGCTATAGATTATCCAACTTTAAAAGGTTTTCCATCAACATTAGAAAAACTTATTATTAATTCTTCACATCTTCGTACACCTGTTGATCGTCGAATATTTATACTTAAAAATTTACATACACTTGATTTATCTGATAATAATATAACAGAATTACCATCAAATATGGAAATGAATCATTTACATACATTAATTATTCGTTCAAATCGATTAAAATCTTTTCCAAATACATTCAAATGTCCTATACTTAAAAATCTTGATTTAAGTCAAAATCAATTAGAAAAAATTGATTTAACTATATTAAATTTAAATACACTTGAACGTTTAAATTTATCATCAAATAAAATAAAATTTATTCCAAGACAAATTTTACGTTTATTATCACAATTACAAGTATTCAATATAGCATCAAATTTAATTCGATTTATACCAAATTGTTTAGCTTCTAGTGGAACACGTTTACATACATTTCATTATGCTGAAAATCCATTAATTACAGAAAAATCTATAACATGTAGACGTTTTAACATTACACTTGTTGAATTAGGTCTTCGAGCTGTTATTAAATATAGGTAAATCTTAACCGATACATTAGAATAAATTAGCCTCTCACGAAAGAACGTATCCAACTGTTGGATGCCGTTCGACTTCATATTATGATTACGAGTAGGTGCTTATAAGGCACATCTAATAGTCATTAAATAGTTCAACGAAAACGAACATGACTTTTTCGGTGTATTCCATTTCTAAGTAGGCTCGATTTAAAATATCTTCGTTTGCGTTGAACTATCTAATGACTATCAAAATGTTCTTATCAGGAAGAATTTAAGATTGAAACTCGTTGTTTTGGATTTTTCGAAAATGTCTTGCTCTCAGGAACAATTTCATTAAAACAATTATAACTCTATATTAGTAAATTATGTGTTCGAATTCCTTGAAGCTTGTCTTAGTTTCATCGAAACCAACTTATAGTCATAAGATGAAGTTGAACAGTGTTCGACAGTAGACTCAATGTTTAAATCTCTACCAAAATCATAGACGAATATGTGCCATAGAAGTATAAAAGCAAAATAGCTATTGTACAAATGCTGCGAGTCTGTACTTTTAACAATTACAAAATTCAGATTTTCTGTTGTATTAATGCATGCTGACGTTGGATATGGAAAAGTGGATGTATTCGTTTTTCAGAGCTTGAAAAACTCCATCGTATAGATAGATACAGTGATTTTTACAAAAAAAAACCGATTTGTTGCACCATTGTGTTTCATATACTTGAAAAGCTTTTGAGTCATACTATAGAAATGTACTTCATTCTAAATAAATGCTTTGTTGTCTCGATTAGATTCAAACACCAAAGATCCGTAGTGGCAGATTTTTATCTGTTGTCCACACACTAAAGTCTCTGTCAATATTTTAGGTTAATACGTTCTTTCCTATGGCCTATTAAATAACACATACTTGATTGTACCTGTAATGGTACTTTGAAGAAAGAAAGCGCAAATCAGTTTGTACATTTGTGCTTGAAAGTTGTTAATGACACACATTTGTCAATGGTTTTAGTAGAAAATGGAATTTTGAGTCTTTTAAAGACGAAACTTAGTCCATAACTATTAAAATTGACAGAGTTATGGAGAAAATACTGAGAGAGGCTCATTTATTCCAACGAACTCGTTAGTCCATTATGTTTATCACATTTTTACAATTTTTATTTTTGACATTCTGAAAAATTTTATTCACAAAATGAAAAATAACTTTTTTTCTTAAAAATTGTTTCTTTTAGAATTCCTTATGATTTCAAAACACTTCCTCGAACATTATGTTTCTTACTAGATGAATATGAAATATGTGCTCATTGTGCTCTACCGTGTTTAACTAATTTTGGTGAAATAATTGTACCAAAACAATTATCAGCAATTGGAGTAACAGTACATGTTACAGCAGCTAATCAATCATTTTCTATACCAGTACAAGAACGATATTGTTCAATAAAATGTTTCAATTATGGACTTAAACGAGCTGGTATGAATCGAGTTTCTTTTTTTTATTTAATTATTATTATTGATTTCTTTGTTCTAGGAATGATTCAAATGTAAATTTTCAACTTAGATTGATTGATTCAAATGTTATTATAATTAATCAATTCTTATTTTTGTTCTGGTTCTATGTTTTTTTTTTGTCAAAACTTCAGTCAGATATTCGAACTGTAGATCTTCTTAAATAAAAAAACAAAAAAAAATTATAATAATAATGTTGGAATAAGTTTTAAAAAATAATGTATCACAATAGTTTGATTGTATAATAGTTATTTATTCATATAAATCATTGTGAAACTATTTGTATTGTAACTTTAAAGTTACTTTTATATTTATCGACGTGATATTAAGTAGATATTAACACTGATTACTGTTGAAGTCTAAATAACGGACTGATAACAATCGTAGAAAATATCATATTGAGGATTTTTTTATATATGTAATTGACTAAGTGTTATAGAGAAAGATACCTTATATTCAAATGCTAACATTTAATGCGAAAAGAAGTTGACATCATGATGAACTTTGTATTACCTTCAATATAATGAATGATTTTAACGAAGAATCAATTCTGAATCATGAATGAGAAGAGAGATGAAACTTTTCTTCGTTTACTCTTCAAATTTGATTTCTTAATTAGATATTAGTGATTCAGTTAGTAATGAACTATCAACTGATATTGGAAAACAATTGATTCACACTGATCATAGTAATATATGAATAATGACATGTAAAAATTGTCATACGATTATTACATTAAATTCAATCAGTGACTTAACAATGTATAATGATGAATAGTTAGATTAATGTTAAAGATGTTTGTTGAAAAGAAAAAAAAAAGCTTGTACCCTATTGACATAGCATATTAACAAATATTTTTGGTCCGTTTTTTTGTTGATTATGGCCGAATGATTATTTTTTCTTATGTTAATTGCTGCGCCATGATGATGACATAAATAAAAGTTATTTATTGTGATGTTGTGTACTTGTACAAAAGATTGTTTTGGCTTCTTTTTGTATTAAAATCTTACTTTGTAATTTTTTTCTCTGAATAATAAAAGGTTTGCTAGAATCTAATTGTCATTTCATTTGATATATAATACGTTATTGTTCGTTCAACTATGCTTTTTTTTCTGCAAGCCATGCACATTCATTATTGAATTCAGCCATGTCTAGTCTGTTTTGTCTATGACATAAAACAGAAATATCTATTGTTTTGAAATTCAAGTGGAATTTACTGTATTTTTTATATGAATCAGTTAAATAAACAAGTATATCTAATTGATGTTAAGTCAATTATTGAATATCATTATTATCGTTTCATTTGTAACTTAACTCAAAGATGTGCAAAAAGTCTCGAGAAGTTTTCAGAAAAATAAAATTCTTCTGTGCTTAGTGTGCCAATGGGCATATCATCTTATGTGATATCTTTCCTTTCTCTATATGTTGTTGTACAACCGATGCTACGTAGTTTTCATAATCGCGTTACTCTTGCGCTTAACTATGCATGATTGAGCCTCATTCTCTTTCTATCGTAATGTGCTTCTCATGTTGTATCATCGTTCGCTCGTATGTTATATATATTGTTACGTTACTGTCCTTACCCTATTTTTCTTCTACATCTGTTCTCTCCTTGGCCTCATCTCCTTTCTTTTCATTCTCTCTTATTCTACTCGTGTATATAAGCACGTGCTTTATATGTAAACGACACGACTATATGATATGAGGGGATAGAATAAAGTGTAACTACATGCACACTAATATCCCTTCTATCCGAAATCGTCACAAGACAATTATATGATATGAAGGCATAGAATAAAATGTATCTCCATTTATACTAACATTCCCTCTATCTTTTTTCATTACATTTGGCGACTCTGGCAAAATAGGGTCAACATCAGCAATCCTGATCAACTTTTTGATTTAAACAAAAATGATCCGGTAACAATAATGACGGCTGAAAAAACCACAACTAAAAAATTTATCGTGGAAAAAGCGGTTCAGCATATTGTAGAAACGTGCTCACGTATTACAGAGCGAGTGACATAAATAAAAGGTCAAGTTGAAGAAATACATAAAGTCAGTACTAATCGGTATGAAGATTTGTCAACGTCTTTACCAAAAATGTGAGAAGATCTATCACGTCGAATCGACGACATATAAGCACAAACTACAGAATAGCATTTTAAAGCAACGTCAATACTAGCTGAGTATCAACAGCTATTAAAGAAGGTTTTGAAACAATTAGAAAATTTGAGGAAAGAAGAACGATTAGATCAATCCAACATACAGAAACAGTGCGTTACGCATGTTGACCACTCAATACTGATACAATTAAGTTTAAATGCCATACATCAATCACAATATGTCGATAATTACGTGGCTCACATGCCTACGAACGTAGCCACGCCGCTGATGCTATATGCAATTGTGATACCACTAGCATCTGCAATATTAACGTTCTCTGGGAAACACTCAGCATGCCCGAATCAACTCTTGATTCGTGTGCAAGAATATGTCGAAATGGTGCACGGATGGGATCGACCCACTTTACTTTACGGTATCTCACAATTTCTACGAGATACCGCTTTGGAATGATACTGTCAATTAAGAGCTATTCATCAGCAACCTGAAATATGGACAGAATTTGTCGATTTATTTCTCTCTCAATTCAATTCTCCTGTGCGAAGTGCATTTCAAGAACAAGAATGTTACGAATGTAAGCAACGGGAAAATGAAACAATTAATGAGTTCTTGGTCCATTTACGAGCTATATGGACAGAACAAAAACCAAAAGAAATCGAAATTGACCAGATTAGACATTTATATATATATGGATGAATATAAATAGGAAAATATCATATTAATACACAAGAAGGCGGTAAAAACTCGATTCTTCTAATTACAACTGAGCGTACGTGGTCAGTCGTGAAACCATGATGACGGATAACAGAATAGTTCAGTTGTGCCTGGTCGTTACAAGGTGGTTAACACTCAAGCCAACAAATATCACGAGAGGTCTAACCATACCGAAGACCGATGTCGTCCATACAGCATCGGTCTGATTTTTCATTACATATCGGATTATCGACCCTCAAACAAAATTATCACATTCACAGTAGCCATTTCCATGGTGGAAGACATGTGCTATCTGATTCCGGTTGGCGCTATGAAGAAAATCTCTCGATGTGGCATATCAAAGGCCCATGCACGAGTCACATACAAGAGCGCAAACCGAAGAATAAGTTCAGTCGAACCGTCTATACAAAATGCAACACAACCAACAGCACTCCCACGCCAAAAAAGACTCATTGGGGACATTATCGCCATCGGCGTAGGCTCCGCTGCCCATGCACTCTCTACCGCAAACGCAATGCAGATGTCGAATCTGAAAAGTGAAGTGCAAGCAACTAAGAACTGTTTAAGATCGGTGGATCAGTCAGTAAACACTCATAGTGCTCAGATCTTACATCTTACACATGGACAGCTCAAGGTAGCACAAATGCTCAATAACACCCAATTCACGCTTAATCGCACGATCGAGCTCGTCAATGAAAATTCGGCCGTTTTACGTAACTACGAAACGACTTTAAGAACAATCACATCGTTGACAGTATTTTTAAGTAGTCGACTCGCGGCATTCATTCATGCCGTAGAGACACATTTTATACATACAGCAATCGATGGCATACTAATGAACAAACTTAACCTGCACCTCATTCATTTTAAAGATCTATCTAAGGTAATCGAACTCGTAGTTAATACAGCAAATATTGCAATTGACGAATCAAGTAGTTCAATGTCTATGGTCGAAATAGTCACACGTCTACTTCTACAACAACGAATCGACTTTGTTCCGGCAAACACGTCGCAAACATCGGAAAACGGCGAGGTATTAGGAAAGTTAATGTTTACATCTTTCTTCTCAGCACCTAGTCTGGATCAAGTACCATTCTCAATATACGAACTGATACCCATTCCATTCAATCATAGCAACAACTGAGTAAAACTGGCACAAATGCCTGCTTTTATAGGAATCGAACATGAGTCATTACAATTTATTCGCTTGTCAAAAAGTGAAGCGGCATCTTTTAGGTTCGAAGTGATATCATCATGTCGAGAAACACTGGCAATTCGAAAGGTTCTCGAGGACAACTGCCTCTATCAGACTCTCACTGATTCACCACTAGCGGCGTGTAGAATCGAACCATATGCGGATCCAGTCTTCGTTCACAGAGTCGGACAACACCGGGCCGTATCAACGAACGCCAATATCAAATACCACTCTGTTGAATCCTTGGAGCGGAACAACATAAAGCCATCGATAATGACGAAATTGTATTACCTTCAGTTGCTTTTGTAAAAACTACCGATACTACCTCTTTAACCTGCAATCGATTTTCCTTACCAGGACTACCAATCAAAGTGGGGAAAACAATTGCCCTGATAAAAAATACCACTATTAATCCAATTGCAGACGCTTTAGTGGATCTTCAGTCAATAATAAACAACAATACCAATTGGGCAAAGCTACCACATACCTCTTCAGATATGCAGGCTGTGATCGATTTTATATCCGATACGCCAAAGCCAACACAAGCAGAAGATCATCAACGATGGCATGAACATCCTGTCTCTTTCATAACAATTATATTGGTCTGCATAATTGGAGTACTCGCAGGTACTCTACTCTTCTGCATTATATCAAGGCAATTTAAAAGGACTAAGCTTGTAATTACAATACCATCCATCAACACGGCTGAAATTTGAGACACACGAGGTTATAAATAAAAAACACGCTCTTGTCTATTTTACTAAACCTCTCTTTCGCTTGATAGTGGAATTTTTTTTTTGCTTCTTTTCTAATAATCTCTTCGGATACATGTAAATCGATTTTATGCTATGTTATGTGATCTTTTTTTTCCTTTTCTTCTCTCTTTTACTTTCCTTCTGTTCATTTTGTTTCTGTTCATATTCATGTACTTCTCACATATCTCCTGCGCCCGTTACTTTCAATTCAAGACGTTCAGGAGCGCGTCTCAATTGAAGAGAAGGATGTGCCAAGAGATACACCGATGTGACATGCTGTCATCAGTATGTGACATTATCCTTACTTTATTCCACTCTTACTTCATATCATCGTTTCATGATGTCAATCTTGTATCCTTACGTAATACTGTTCATAGTGTTCAATACTTTTTCAATGCGTTTGTAATTGCTGCGCTATTCACTGCGTATATGTTCATTGTTCTCTTTTTGCTCTGAGAGATTACCGCATCAAGCAGAAGCAAGGTGAAATTGTTGAGAAGGAGAGAGAGAGAAGAGAACAGTGGAGAATATATACAGTCATTATTACGCAGAGTGGAGGACACAACACACTCGACGTTACACACTTTTGTTGGATGATATACATAGTTGGTGTAAAAGTTAAATGATATATAATACTGTGTGTTAATATTGAGAGAGAAATAAAATCATGTACAACAAGTAACGGAAGTGAGCTTGAAGAAATAATAAACGAGGCAACGCCTTAAAATACATGATCCAATAACGCGGTCACCAGCCTTCCTACATCACATCCTTCACTTATTCTCAATTTTCCGTTACACTTAGACCTCGAAGCATTCACAATTCACAAGATGATCAAAATCAAACTTCTGTTTGCTTGTTTTATTTGGAGAAGTTTAAAAAACTAAGGGTGGGTGTAGGTGTGCGTGTGAGTGTGGCTGTTAGTCTTAACTACGCCCACACCCACGCCCTCACACCTACACCTATACCCACACTCACACCCCATCCCACATCCAGCTACACATCCACACCCCACACCCAGCCACACACCCACACCCTGCAACGATTCCAGTTTTATATACTTTAGTACACTGATGTTTCCTTCACAGATGTTTCTTAGCGAAATTCTTTTTCTTTGCTTATAGATCTCAGCATCATTGTCGAGCTATTCCGAGGTTTTTGGTAGCAAGACTAGAATTATAATTATGTAATTCAAACTAATAAATAAAATGAACTTTTTCATTCTCATTTAAATAATCTTTACTTTTCCTTGTTAGCGTACAATTGCGTCATGGTCTACAGTTTATCGGAAAATAGATATTGATCATTTTGTACTTTTTCTCATAACTTCTAGCAAGAGAGAATAACTTCCGTATTTTCTTCTATCAATGATATCCGTCGCGATGGACATCGTTGTTCTCTATATACTGTATATGATTGTATTTCAGGAAAACGATTAATTGAGATTAGTATTGAAAAATCTGTTGTTTATTCAATTGTTAATATATAAATAACATGTTCTTTTTTCTTCATTAACAAAAAAAAAATCAAAAAATGAATTCATGTTGAATATACAAATAAAAGTATAAATTGAAAAACAACCTAAAAAATATAAGAGAAGAAACTTTCTGTTTCAGTAACAAAAAAAAGAAAACGAAAATAGTTTGATGTTTATATAAAAGATTAACCGGATTTTGATAGTTTTTTTATGCATAAGCTTTTAACGTGCAGTAGTTGTTGAACGAGCCACATGTCCAATTAAATAGATATTATCATAGAAATGACCAGCTAATTCATCACTTAATGTTTCATTAATTATAGCACGACGTGTATTACGAATAAATTCACGTTTAGACATTTTATTTTTTACATGTGGTGATGTTAGGTCAATCGAAAGTAGTATTAATGAAAAACAAAGTACATAAATTGTTTCTACAAAGATAAAAACAAACATAATTATGATTCTTCTTAAAATGAAATATTTTTTTCTCTAAAGATACTACATACCAATTGACAATCCAAGATCTTTATTACATTCATAAAAACGTTTAGAAAAATTTTCAATTAATGTAGATAAATATTCATTACGTTCTTCAGGTGCATCGAGTTTAGCGAAAAATTGTCGTAATGCATTTGGTAAAAATTGATTTTCATAAGATTGAAGTTCAATTAAATATTCAAGTACATCTCGACTAAAAAATAGAATTATCAAATAAGAAAATAACTATATCCAGTATTGATTAAAGTCTCATAGATGTTAAATCTCCTCAAATAAAAATTGTTGACCCTATTTTGATAGGATAGTCATATTGAACCTAGATCAAAGAATACAGAATCCGTACACACTTCGTATAAGACCACATTACAGTCGTGCCTGTTTGACTGGGATTATCAGCCAGTTTCATTTCTTTTTTAATTTCATGTTACTAAACTTCTTCGTTATGTGTGAAGAAATTAATACCAATTTAAGAAAACTTTTTTAATCAGCTAAGCCTTCGAAAAAAACCTAATATTTAAAAAGATGTGTGATGGACAAAAGCAAGCGTTTCGTTTCACTTTGAATATTTTATTTTATTACGTACCGTTCTTGTAATAATTTACGTTTTTCTGTTGTATGTAATTTTCTTGTATTATGTATAAATTTACTAATTTCTTCACATGTATCATCAAGAAGTTTATTTTCAATAAAATATTTCAAGCCCTAAATGAATATAAAACTTATACAAATACAAACAGAATCAAAATATTTCATTACTTCGCCAGCATTAAATCGTAATGTTCCTTCATCAAGTTGTAAATAGATTTTACGAAATGAAATACCTTCACGATGTGCTCGTTTATAAATTGATGTATAACTCCAAATTGATTTACATAATCTTTAAAAATTAAAATATTAAATTATTTAAAATAAACGACTATCATTTTATTTACCCAAGCCAAAGCATTTCATCATTAGCTAATGTTTGCCAAACACAAGCAGCAAGACATAAATCAGTAGCATTTAAATTTTTAAGAATTTCTAAGGCAAGTTCAGGTGGTAATTGAGATATATCAGAAATTTTTGTAACTATAATAATTAGAATATGAAAAAGACGATAAACGAAAACAAAAAAAGTGAAAAATCATACTTTGATTATTTTTAATGGTTGCCGACTCGGCAAAATTTCGATCGAGAATTTGACCCATCGTTAATGATATTATAATCAATGTTTACTCGAACGAATATGAAGCCGAGCCCACCTGCTACGATGACGTGGACAGAAGTTGCCAACGTGGAAAGGTGAGTAATTTGTCTATTAGTATAAAATTCGATGGTATTTTTTTCTTTAGTTTAAAATGAGAAAGAGGAAAGAAAAACAAAAGTCAGAGAAGACTTGAACAAATTTTTGTCTTTCCTTGTCTTTTCTATGATTGGTCAATTATTTAACAAATTATAAGTTTTTAAATAAACAATCAAAAGAAAATTTTAAATTAATAATAATATTTTCTTTATTTATCGTAATTCATTTATATAAATATTCGCATGATTTTACAATTAATAATATGGTTACTTAGTAACCAATGTGTAAGACAGATGTTCATGGCGACTAATTTTAGCAACATAACACAGAAACATGATATTTGCACTTAATTTTATTCAAAAAATAGTATTCTTAAGATTATAACTTTTTTTTTTTTGAAAATATTTTCTGTAGTGTTGAAAGATCAGTATTCATATAGTTAAGAAGTATTTGCAACCTATATTTTCGATTTCCGTAACAGAGTTTTCAATTTTATAAAGTGCAAAAAAATATTGGTTTTATTTTAGATTTCATTTATAATTGAGGAAAAAGCTCAACAAATATTTAATTAGTTCAAACACTTCTCGAATTAGAATAGTTCTTCAATATCATTTTGTTAAGTCTATATTTAATAATGAGTTTCGTGAATGAAGAGATATTCTCTCAAATCCATTTGTCAGAAAAAAATAAAATAAAGCATTCTAAACAATTTACTTTTAATAGATTAATATTTCTGTTATATTCTAATTTGAATAAAAAAACAATATTTATTCAAAAATCAAATTATTATTGAATTTTTAGATTAATCCATTATACTGATATAACTTCCATAAAAAAAAAGAACACAATGTCAGTTATTCCACCATCAGGTTCACTTGTTCGTTTTGATAATCCAACATTGATAACAGCACAGAATGAAAAAGATCGTAAAGCACTCCCTACTAATAAACAACAAACAGCATTAGATCAACAAATGATGGATGTTACTGGTGGTGGTACAAGTTCACCACGATTAGGTAAAAAACAACAAGCAATGAAAGATTTATCATTAGAAGAAATACTCGATAAAATTCTTCCGCCAAAGTATAATATAGTTTATTTAAATTTTAAATTTTTTAAAATTTATTTCAAAATCTAAAATAGAATTACAAAAGATCCAAATAATCCAGAATTACTCTATTGTCAACGTATATCATCAACACCAGCAACACGTCTTGATGTAATTAATTTACAAGAACAATTAGATATGCGTTTACAACAACGACAAGCTCGTGAAACTGGTATTTGTCCAGTACGACGTGAACTTTTTTCACAATGTTTCGGTAAAATTTAAATTTAAATTTTTCAATCAAATTATTTGTTTTTATTTCAAAAAAAACAAACAATTAGATGAACTTATTCGTCAAGTTGCGATTAATTGTGCTGAACGTGGTTTACTTCTTTTACGTGTACGTGATGAATTACAAATGACTTTACGTGCATATCAAACACTCTATGAAAGTAGTGTTGCATTTGGTATGCGTAAAGCATTAATGGCTGAACAAGGAAAATCTGAATTAGAACGAAAAGTTCGTAATGAAATTATTAAGACTTTTATTGGAATTCTTTTTATTTTTTTAGTTAGTACAACTGGAAGAAGATAAACGTGATCTTGAACGGCAACTTAAAGAAACAAAAGCTAATGCTGAAGCAGCTGAAAAAAAATTAAATGAACAACGACAAGTTGAAGAAAAAAAACATATGGAAGAAATTAATTTTTTAAAAAAAACAAATCAACAACTCAAAGTTTGACAAAAATAAACAAGAAAAAAAAAAGATAATTTTAATTTAATTTTTTATTTTTAGGCTCAATTAGAAGGATTAATTGCACCAAAAAAATAAATTACAGTGGTTATGCTACTTTACTGTATACATTATTTTTAATGAAAACATCAATTTTGAGCGTCACTTTTTAACATTATTATTTTTTTGTATTCTTGCTCATTTCTTTTTCTTTTTCAAAAATCAAATAAAATCCTATTCTTTGAAGAATAATTTTCTATGAATCAAAGAATTTTTACTTTCGAATCCACAGGATGTGAAATTTTTTTGAACTTATTCATATGTCATAGTAAATACAAGGAAGACCCTTTTTATTTCGATTCTAATAGAACCGATGAATTTTTCAATACAAAACGATTATATTTGTTTTATATTTTAAATCTATATCAATTTATCTTAGAATATTAAATAAACGAAGATTTTGAAGTCCTTTAGCGAAATAAAAATTAGTTTTAAAATATTTATTTTCATAATAAGCGATAATTTTGGAGTTTAGGATAAGAAAAAATTGTTAATCTCATTTTTTTTTGTATTCATCGAGTGTTTTTATTCTTATTTAACATGATAAGAAGTAATGTATCAATACTGGACGAACAGAGTTTTTGGTAGTCGTTTGAAGATTTGATTTCTTCTCTAATTCATCGTCACTATGAAATAAAGTGTATCTATTGTCAATAGTAATGGTGTGATGACATCGACATATTATTAAAAAAGTACTATAAATAATAACTGATATTCATAATTCTTTTTATTAAGTAAATTTGGACGATTGTTTGATTAATTAAACGTGTTTACACGTTGTATATTGTTTCCTTTACCTAACAATGTTATACTTATGGTATACCAAAAGTTCTGGCCACAGCGTTTATAAAGGACCTTGTTGGATAAGGTGATCTGTTCAGAAATGGAAAACTAAATATACCATGTTGTAGAGCTTTATCAGGCACGTCGAATGGCATATAGTAAATCCTATTTCATAAGACTTTGAAGGAACTAGAGCCAATTTACTGATAGACGACTACACACTCACCCTCGCACCCCACACCCAAACATGATAAGTTACTGAATATTGTGGTACTTTGTATTAGTCGAAAGTATTTGTAAAATATTTTTTCTCACATACGATTTTGTAGAGTTTTTGACGCACTACAATCTCCTATATGTAGCATCAACTATCATCTTATTAGTGTGAGTATGAGTGAGTGTGTAGTCGTCTATCAGTAAATTGACTCTAAGTCCTTCAAAGTCCTATGGAAACAAGATTTATCATATACCATTCGATGTGCCTCAAAAAGCTGTACAACATCGTTTATTTAGTTTTTCATTTCTCAATAGGTTCCCTTATCTGAAAAGATTCTTTAAACGCCATGGCCCAAACTTTTGGTAGGCCCTAAGTACTAAGTTATCGATGCATTACGCGTTATTAAATATTTACCTTATTATATCGAGTTAGATTCATAAAACGGAGAAAAAGCGAATAAGCAATAGTCTTCTAGTGCTTCTCATAATTGTTTTAGGAAAAACTATTGCTATTTCTTGCATTGCTGGTGCGCTGCCTATACATATATACATGTAATGGAAAAATGAACTCACTATTCTTGGAATATTATTTCAAGCTTAATATCACTTTCACATAATTTAAGACTAATGAATGTGTTATTTGTTGTAAAGATAATAGAGTAATTTTTACTTTTTTTAAAAATTTCATTCAAAATACATTGATTTATCAGCATGAACAGGTAAAAAGCACGAAGTTCAATTATCTGTCGAAAGCACTATACAGAAAGTATATTTGAAAATCTTCTAACAATCTAAGACATCGGCGACCTCTAGATTCAAAGAGAATCATTGCTAATAATAGTACAGTTAAATTTCATCCATTCAAATTTCAATCTAATCTTTATATTCTATTATTACAGTTTTTTTTCGTATTTTCAATCTATCCAAGCGATCATAATACAATGAGCACTAGCAAAAAATCAATAAGTATGTAATCTTTATAAATAGAATTTGTTCTCTATCAAATAAATGATTTTAAAGAAAAACGAAAATTGCCATCTTCGCCATCACAAACAACATTACAAGCCAATCGACGATTAGAAGTATTACGCAGTGGACAACGAAATTTATGGGATGATGATGATAATGATGATAGTGATCTTGAACCATATGTGAAATTAAAAAAACCTACAACTATTAATAAAACATATATTGTTATATCTGATTCAGATAATGAGAAAACATCATCTAGACGACGATCAAAAAGTAATAAATCAAAGAAAAAATCATCTCGTACTTGTGATGAAAGTTTAACATCAGATAATGATCATAAACGAACATCAAAATGTGTTACATGTTTAATTTGTTCTATTCTTACAACATTAACATCATATAATTGTTGTTCAAAACATTTATCATCACTTATTAATAATAAAAATTCTCATGACAATGATCAAAAACAAACAATTAATACAAATCAATGGCCACCAAAACAAGTTATGATTGTACCAATAACAGATGAGCTTATTCAACGTTATATAAATCCACAAGAATTTGTTCATATTAAAACATCAACATCACCAATACATAAAAAATCTGTTCGATCTAATAGATCAGTAAGTTAAATATCACACATTCTTTCAAATGAATTTTTTATTTAAATTTTTTAGATTCGAAAATTATCAAAAAAATCACGAATAACATCAGAATCATCCGATGCTGAACATTCAATTATTAATAAAATAAAATCATCAACAAAGTAAATTGTTTTGTTTTCCTTTTACACATCAAACATTCTCTTATAATAAAATTCAAATTTCACATTTCTTGTTTTTTGTGCATAGATCTTCACGTATTGAACTTGAACAACCAAATTCTTCATCTATTGTAATTGAATCAGTACTTCCAACAAATTCAGGAAAAATTTCACAAGATGCAACATATACAGTTATTACATCAACATCAACATCAACATCAACAACAGTCAATAGTTTCGAAAGTCCAAATATTCTTGATACTTGTCAAATACAACAATCATCTGATCAACTAATTACTATTGATGATTCTCAACCGAATACTCAACAAGATGATTTATTAACTCACAATACTCAAAAAAATCAAACAAATGATCCATGGACACCAATTAGTGATGACACATATGTTGCTATTGAAACAACTCTTCATCGAATTGATTCATCATCACAAGAGAAACATGAATTTACACCAATAACAGCTCGACGTACACCAACAGATTTAATGGCATCTCATTTACCTAAAATACAATTAAAAAAAGGTCGATTTCATCAAGGTAAACCTATTGTTGATAAAAATGTGTCTGATACTACAACAAACGGATGTCAATCATCAACAATTTGTCAATCATCATCTTCTTCTTCTTCGACTTCAACATCGACATCCATTATTATTACAAAGTAATTCGACTTTTTTTAGCTGCCCCTCCGTTTTCAGATGTTAAAATCAATTTTTTTTTTCGATTTTTGACTTTTCATCGCTAACATAACTTCAAAGTATTCTTTATCAAATGTCATATAGATGAGTGCTCTTCGTTTTTAGTTAGTACTTTTATTAAACTCAGCGCTCGAAATCTCTAACAGAAAAACTCATGCTGCTATTATTCTTTGGGCACAAAATTCTCCTAATAAGAATGATTATTTCTCATTGGAAAGTTACTGAGAGCATGGGTCATAAATCTCTAACACCGCTGAACATGGTCACTTTTTGATCGCTTGATTTGAAGAAAAAAGCCCTGATACATACAGGAAAGTTTGTTCTGCGTTTTTCTCAAAATCAATTTTTGAACACGAAAAGCGAAGTTTTCTCCTATACGGTACATACGATTGGGTTCAAATTTTTTTTAATGAGTACTTTGATCAAATTGGGGTGCATGTTATTTTTCTTCAAAATGTTGTTCCTACAAAATTCAATAGCCTTTAAAAATTTAGTATCATTGAAAAAAACTATCTACGAGAAACCTCGAAAAGGAGGAGAAACGTCCACTTAATATTTTCTTCTTACGCTCTTTTCATTGTTTATATATCAAGTAATCGACCAGCACCATCATCATTAGAAACTATTATTGAAGATGAATCACTTGTTATTCAATCAACGCATCAAATATCAAATAAATCTTCTCCATCATGCCATGGATTGTCACAACAACCTGAAAATACAACTGAAGGTCTTAGTGATACTGTCATGAGTTGTTTATTTGCTCAAGATGAATTAAGTCAATATGATAATATTCATATAACAACAAAAACAATATCTAATGAAGGTATTCAATTATTCGTTTAGTACTAAAAAATAGTATTTAAATATTTATTGCTTAGCTGTTCTTCCTCCTCCTCCACCTCCTCTTCTTCTTCTTCCTACTATTATTATTGAAGATTATTCTCATAAAAATGATATTAATAATAAGTCAGTAGATATTTCTCAATCATCTCAATTAACAAATGATCAAACTGATTTTCAACAATTAACTCCATCAACTACGAATGAAAAGCCAACACGAATAGCAAGAAGATCATATCGTATGAATGCCGATGGATCACGAGTTAGTATATCACGATCATCAATATCAACATATCGTCAATCATCATCAACTTCATTACGTCGAGTAAGAAAATAATTTATTTCTTTGTTCTTAGTTCTGTTGCTGTTTTTTTTTTAAATATTCATTTTCATAGTTATCAAATGATGTGACTTCTACTACATCTCGTACAAAGAAATAAATAATGTCAATGTTCGAACTTTTCTATGCATGCAAGCAATATATTTGATATTTTCTTGAGCCTTTCTAAATTTACAAAATAGATAAAATAAATCTTGTGTTTGAAAACAACATTGTTTTTTTTTCTCAGAGATTTTTTGTAAAACGTATATAGCTCGAATTAATCAGAAATGAATCGTAACATAATTGATTTCTAAAAATAAGAATCGTTTGTATAGTTAGGAACAATCACATTATTAATAGTAGATAGCTATAATTCGAAAAGAAAAAGACAAAATTTGTAACCATAGCTGTTCAAGAGAATAATTGTATTTTACAGCTGAAAGTTTCTTCGACAATTGATGATTCATTAGCAAATGATTGACAACACTTATGGTTACATTATTTATTTTCATTTACGTCATAGATATTGGTAGATCGAGTATGCCATGATTATTTAGATGACTAAGAAGCTAATAATATCTTTTATTAATTGAATTGAACATACTTTTCTCAATGTCTAGGAAAAAACCTTCGAATATTTAACTATCTCTCGATGTTAAACATTCATCCTCGTATTGAAACATCATATAATGAATTTCGAAAGCTAATAAGAATCATTTATGCATGAGAACAAACAAACGTCATGTAGCAATTCTACCTATATATCAATCTTGACAATTATTTATATCTTGTCTTGTGAGAAAAGTATTTGATATGTTTGTCATATTTCAAATCTTTTTTTGATAAATTTACTATAAACTAAATTCAATGTTAAAATGTAACATTTCATTGTTAAAAAAAAACTTCATTAGAAAAAATAAAAATAAGTGCATCTATTATTTGAAATAATTAATGGATGAAAAACCAATAAGATTGACTACCGATTCGTTTTTTTTTTCAGTGCATGTTTCATAGTTGTATCCACTTGTTACTATTCTCGTTTTGTTTGAATTTCATTATTAAGCATGAACTGAACAAGAAGAATCAATAGTAAAGATTACTTCGCTTTCATCTATTTATTATTTTGAATTATGGATGCATTGACTTTAACTTTGCTCGTAGAAGTTCTTGTAAGCAACGAAATCTTACGTTGTAAAACTTAATTATGTTATAATAAATCTATTAGGAAGAGATATCAAACATGATATTCAAAAACACCTTTTTTCTTTCGATTACATACGTTAATATTGAATGAGATATACGCAATAGAAATAAAAAAAATATACCGTTATAACTTAAGAATCACCTCTTGTCATATTTTAAAGATTATCTGGATCTAGTTTACTAAAAAAGAGTCCACTAGTCTGTTTCCTAGAACCTTTTGATTGTTCTTGCTGTTGTAATGGCATTAAAAATTTTGATATAGTATGTGTAGATGTCAATTTTTCAACAGATTCATTCGATGGATCCCGTTCAGTTCTCGTCATGCTTGAAACATACGATTCATCACTATCATTGCGATCTAACAATGATTTACTGCGGGTATTTTGATAAAAATAACCAAGACATGAAATCAATACAATAATGCCAATTATAGAAAGTAGAAGTATAATATATTTAGTTCGAGATGATGACTTTTTGGTTGAAGGAAGATTATTTAAATGTATCACAGATGTTGTCGATGTACTAGTTTTCGATGTTTTAGAGCTTTTTGAGCTTTTTTTCGATGTTGTATTATTGTTTACATTTATATAAGTTGTTGTACTTATATCTAAATGTGTTGTCGACATTGTTTCCAAAGTAGTATTCGAAAGATGATCAGCATTTGTAGTTGTAATAGTTGATGAAAGAAATTCACTACTCTGTATAGACGTAGTTATAATTGATGTACTACTTTCGATTGATGATGTAAGAATGTCACTAATAATAGATGTGCTTAGTGTTGGACTATGGCTACTAGTTGATAAAACTGTGGTATCGAATTCTGTAAAAGTATTGGGTGATGATGCAGTACTGATCATGAATAATGTTCTTATATCACTACTTACTGAATGAAGTTGTTTCCTCGGTGGTATTAATCTCTGTAACAGTAGTTGTTGATGTTTTGGTACTGACTATTGAGAATGTTGTTGTTTCGCTAGTGGTGAATGAAGTTATATCCTCCGTGCTGTCGAGTAAAGATGTTGGCTTCAAAGAAAACACTGTACTAGTCTTTTATATATGAAAGAAAGATGTGGTTAATTTGTTATTTATAGATGTAATCAAGGAAATTCTGTTGAGTGTATTCAGATAAAAAATATATGAATATCAAAAGTCAAAATTAATCAGGTCTAATATTCATTACTCAGAATTTTTAGATTTTAATGAATAATATGTAAAGACAACTAGACAACATTGCATTAATGTTCTACTAATAGATTTACTACAAACTCATTCTAACATCAATGATTTTCTAGACAAAAACATTTTTTGGTCAAAAGCTATCAATAATCATACAATTAACTTCTAAGAAAAAAACTTAATCATCTGAAGAATTTCGTAGAATGTTTCATGAACATTATTTGCTATATAGCGAAAGATAAAATATTGATTAGCTCTCTCTCTCTCTCACAAACAGTATTCAGAAATCTTTTGATATGTAGAATATGATAAAAACAAACTCACCGATATAGTGATAGTGGTTGTCAATAATTTATCATTATAATAGTATCCATTTTTTGTTTGCCAATGAGATGGAGCATAAGATGGATTTGTGAAAAAATTGTCTAATAGATTCCAATCAACTTCTTTTGATATTGTTTTTAACTGAGGATCATAATAACATAACTTTCTCACTGTCAATGTAGCATTCATCATACATGTTTTATTTCTTACAAGTTCACTTTGATTGAACATAAATCGACAAATCACTGGTTGAGTGTTAAATTTTGTATACATAGTATGTATTTCATTAGATGTAGATGAAAAACTTATTGAACTTAGATTAATAAATATTTGAGAATCAACACATTTAGCTTTGAATGAATATTGATGATAAGTATTATTAACTATGCCAGTCAAATCAGGTAATGAATGTGATGAAAGTATGCTTGATTCACATGGATTTTTTATTATTCCTTTTTTCATCTTTGTATAATTCAACATAAGATAAGGATTTAATATCATATCACTCTCAAAACAAGCAACATAAACTTGAGTTTCTTCGATTAAATGAGGAGGATTAGTTTCAAATAATTCAGTCTGATTTGGACATGATATATTCCATTTAGAAACACTATGCCAATTAGTAAAAATGAGATATTCATGTGTAGAACATTTAATTACATTAGGTTCTGTTACAAATAAAAATTTTAGTTTCATTAATGAAGTTGTATGAAAAGAGAAAATATAGATAACATAAATAAATAGAACATAAAGATATTTAGAAATCATTTTCAAACTTAAAGGACAAGAATTAATAATGTATATGTGCGCGAAAAAGGATTTGTTTTTTTTTTTATTATCAAAAAGTATTTCATCTCTCATGAGAAATAATTCATATAATAATGAAATGTTATTTTGATTAGGAAACTGTTTGAACATCTATGATGATAAATCGATTATGCTTGAAACTCTTCAGAAAAATAGCATAACTATATACTTCATTTGCTTATCTTCTAAATACAATTGAAGTAAATACATGAATCAAATACTGTGGAAGATCACACTAAATAATCAATACAATATAGAAAAATCCTAAAATAAAAATCGAATGGATTGATGTAGAGAAAGACATAACTATTTATGTACACAGGAATAGAAATTCGATCGAAAGTAATTGAGTATTTATCTTTCTCATATGATGACAGTTTGGAAGTCTTTGTAGTTGTCTTTTTTGGTACCATAACTTGTCCCAATATTTATATATTAAAGTAAATACTATCAAGAGAATACTTCTTATACAGTAAATCATTCCAATGGAGATGTTCGATTGATAGCATGAAGAATTGGATAGGAATACAGTGTAGTCAAACGTATTCATACATGAATTAATGAACACAAGTAGAATATACTAAATAATAGCTGTAGCAGAGCAGAATATCATGGGATAAGAGGAAAGTCAAGTTTCAGAATTGTGATCCCATGATAAACCTCAAGAAAACCTTTCATACAAATCGACTCGCATAAATTTTAAAAGAAAATAGCGAGTGTAAACTTTAAGTTGAAGTTTTGTGGCTACCTGCCGTCTCCTCGCATTACAGAGCTTAGTAATAGAAAAAGTTGTTGAACAACATTAACGACAAGACTTAGACTGTTCTAGAACAATTCCAAAGCTTTCGTTGAAATTTGAATGGCAGGAATGCGTTTGTGAATGTTCTAAATAGTGCAGTTTTTGATTTTTGCGCAGACAAAAGTTTATATTCTAGGTGTTAACGACGATGAATAGTGACCCATTGCTTTATCATAGTTGTCAAATGATCAACATAAAAGATGTGAATTGATCAAATTATAACTTTAGGAAATAAACAATATCAGTGTTTTGTAAGCTGATCGAAAAATGAAATAGTGTCCTGAGACTTGCTGTGGATACGATGGATATGTATTACCAGGCTTATTGACAAGTTAAATCAATGGTTAGAATAATAAAAGTAGTATTACATTAAGAAAAACGGAATATGAAAAAGAAAAATGACAAGCGAATAGCAACAAGGAAAACAAAGCATAGAGGTCTAGTAGAAGAAGAAAACAATCTGTTCAAAATGTAGAAAATAAATAAGAGATTGTTTTTCTGGTGGTTTATTATACTTGAAAAAAAACTATAGTCTGCTAGACATTTTTCATGCTACGTATTTTGTATGGGTTTAATGAGGCTAAGTGGTACATGTTAATTTTACATTTCAGTGCTAATAGAACTGTGCTGACAAGTTCATCTTTGTAAGAAACTAGAAAGTTATATCAAAACATTGTGTTCTCGCCGCAAGTTTGTCTAAAATGATTTATAGTATTGTAGTAATTTTAAACTGTGGAATATTAACTTTTCGCATCATAAGTTTTCTAATATATCATTAATCATTTTCATGTATTATGAAGTGTGTAATAATGTTTTCATTTCTCTTCTAAAAAATGTTCATAGTCATATACTGATTCAAAACAAAAAGAAAAGAACCTGATGAATCATTTTTTTAAATTTAAAAACTCCACTGTTCAAGTAGTCTTTGTCTCTTTTTTAAAATACGACAATCTATTGATGAAGTTATGTATTACCTACATTAAATTATCTATTTGAGAATAATCAACGAGTCACATCTGATTAAGACATCTGTGTTTTGAAAGCAATTTATGATTTTCTCAACTTTGAAAATGCTACAAGTTAAACTATCATTTTTGTAACACTAATGAAGACGTCGATAAATGAAGCTACTTCATAGATAAGAAACTTTGAAACGGATAGAGTTTATTTTCTATGGATTCGATTCTTTTTCGTACGATTATTAATAAGTAATGTTCATCGAGACTCAATTTATTTGGCCCTCGACTGACAGGATAGAAATATGCATATAAGTGCATCCAGATATAAACTTCCATTAAGTAAAGTAATAGATAATTAAAAGAGAAGACTTAGCATACGATTAGTGATTCGTTTTACAAAAGCAATGTTTTTTCCTCATATAAAATTTAGTTTTAACGTTCATAAATAAAAGTTGATTTTAAATATGCTACACTTTTCTTATGAAGTTCAGTTTATATATGAAATTGAATTAGTTTTTCTACAGAAATTTTATTAAAGCGTTTTATCGATGCACTATGATAACTCAATTCGCTAGTGTTCTTAAATATAGATCTTAAAATTCTTTTTATCATACATTGATTTATATCGAATTAGTGTATATCTATAAATGATGTGTTGTGATAAATAGAAGCATATCGATTTCAGAGATTTTATGCTTGAGGTTCGAATATTTTAAATAAAAAACTGGAAACTGAAAACCTTTCAGTTTTTTATTATTGATATTATTCTACGTCTTCGTCTCCATGTTTGGAATAAAGCATATCTTATATATATATACAACACAGAAATCAATACAATCATTTACAATTAGTTTATATTAGCAGTATTTGTAATCGCAAAAAACAGTAATTCAAATAATGTAATTCTAGTTTATCATAATGATATGTTCAGATTCATTTTCTAACTATTATTGATTATTATGTGACATCCTCATGTACGTACCATTGAATAATCAATCGGACTATACAATAATATAAGAATAACGATGATCATTTTTAAAGGCATTTTAGATCGAATAAGCACCCTTGTAAACCACAATAACTAGTCATATATTGGTGTGTTACATGATTCAGTATTACGATCGCATTTCACCGTTTATAATAACGAGAAATACGGTAATTTTCGAAGTTCATATAAGACTTTCGTTTTACTCAGCATCTCGCCGTATGCGGTCGTATTTTTCCATATATGATTCGGAAAAATACAGTTGTAATACTGAGTCATATAATTCAGCAAAATACTATTCTATACAGTGAAACACGGAGTCTATACGGATTTCGTATTCATAGTCTTGAGATAATACTTGTCGCTTAATTTCAATTGTAATGGATAGGTGGTCTTTTTCTTATCCTATGCAGTCATTCGTACCACAGTTATCATATGATAATCTGTACCACAGATACTATACAGTGATTTGGATCATAACTACCATATGATGACTATGCTATAGATAGGCAGACAGACATATGTGAATTTCTATTTTCTAGATACTATCCTTTTAGTCTAACAAAAATGAATCATTTTCTATTATATAATAAATTCTTATTTTCTAAGTATAATTTAACTTTGCATTTGTCAGGGTTCTTTTTTCATTGTCATATTATTTTGGAAAAAGAAATACATTTTTCGGTTATAATTTTTATTTGGATCATATGTTCTCATAACATCATCGTCAATAAAATAAAATTTTATATGTTGAATATATGGCTTTTGCTTTATGATACTTTTCACTTAAAACTATTCAAACGTTTATTATTGAGAAATATTCAATTAGTATCTCGATAATCTTCAATGAAAAAAGCGTGACAGTTTACTATTGTTATTCTGTATACATATTCTTCGAATTAAATATTGGAAGTCTTTTCCTGAAAAACCTAATATAAACTAAATTCAATGTTACAATGTCACATATTGTTGTTGAAGAAATCTTCATCACACAAAATTAAAATAAGTGCATCTAAAATTTACAATAATCAATTCATGAAAAAAAGCAATGATATTGACAATTTTTTTTTGTTCTCCAGTTCATGTTTCATAGTGATATACCATATAGGAAAAATTCAGTTGTTTATCATCTCAGTCTTGTTTCCCTATCAATATTAAGAACGAACTGAATAATAAGAGTCAATAATAGTGGTCATTGTGCTTTTATCTATTTATCGTTTTAAATTGTAGATACAGTTATTCTAACTTTGTTTCAAGGAGTTTTCTTCAACAACGAAACGTTACATTGTAAAATTTAATTATTTTATAATAAACCTATCAGGAAGAGATATCAAACATGACAAGCGAATGGTTTTTTTTTCTTTTATATATATTAATACTAAATGAAATGCCCCCAATAAAAATAAAAATAAAAAATATCGTAATATCTTAACAGTTACATCTTGTCATATTTTAAAGATTATCTGGATCTAGTTTACTAAAAATACGTCCAGTAGTCTGTTTACTAGATGATTTTGATTGTTGTAGCTGTGGTAAGAGTATTGGTAATTCTGATATAGTATGTGCAGCTGTCGATTCTTCAACAGATTCATTCGATGGATCCAGTTCAGATTCCGTTGTGCTTGGATCATACGATTCATCACTATCATTGCGATCTAACAATGATTCACTACTCCTATTTCGATGGTGTTGATAAAGATAAACAAGACACGAGATCAATAAAATAATGCCAATTATAGAAAGTAGAAATATAATATATTTAATATAAGATGATGATTCTTTAGTTGGAGAAAGAGTATTTAAAGGTATCATAGATGTTGTCGATGTACTAGTTTTCGATGTTTTAGAGCTTTTTGAGCTTTTTTTCGATGTTGTATTATTGTTTACATTTATATAAGATGTTGTACCTGTATCAAAAAGTGTTGTCGACATTGTTTCGAAGATAGTATCCGAAATATGATCAGCAGTTGTAGTTGTAATAATTGACGAAGGAATTTCGCTACTTTGTATAGATGTAGTTATAATTGATGTACTACTTTCGATTGATGATGTAAGAATGTCACTAATAATAGTTGTGGTTAGTGTTGGACTATGACTACTAGTTGATAAAACTGTGGTATCGAATTCTGTAAAAGTATTAGGTGATGATGCAGTACTAATCGTAAACAATGTTGTTATATCACTACTACGGAATGAAGTTGTATCCGGAGTGGTACTGATCTTTGTCATAGTAGTTGTTGATATTGTAGTACTAACCATTGAGAATGTTGTTGTTTCTGTAGTGGTAAATGAAGTTGTATCTTCGGTGGTATCAACTTCTGTCATAGTAGTTGCTGATATTGTAGTACTAACTGTTAAGAATGTTGTTGTTTCGCTAGTGGTGAATGAAGTTGTACTTTTGGTGGTATCGGTTTTCGTAACAGTAGTTGTTGATATTGTAGTACTGACTGTTGAGAATGTCGTTGTCTTATCAGTACTGAATGAAGTTATATCCTTCATGCTATCGAATAAAGACGTTGGCTTCAAGGAAGACATTGTAGTAGTCTTTTATATATGAAAGAAAGATGTAGGTAATTCATTATTTATTGATAGAATTAAGGGAATTCGATCAAGTCTATTTAAATAGAAAATTTATGAATATCAAAAGTCAGAATTAATCAGATATAATATTGATTACTCAGAACTTTTAGATTTTAATGAATAATATGTAAAGACAACTAGACAACATTGCATTAATGTTCTATTAATAGATTTACTACAAACTCATTCTAACATCAATGATTTTCTAGACCAAAACATTTTTTGGTCAAAAACCATCAATAATCATACAATTAACTTCTAAGAAAAAACCTTAATCATCTGAAGAATTTCGTAGAATGTTTCATGAACATTATTTGCTATATAGCGAAAGATAAAATATTGATTAGCTCTCTCTCTCTCTCACAAACAGTATTCAGAAATCTTTTGATATGTAAAATATGATAAAAAAAAACCTTACCGATATAGTGATAGTGGTTGTTAATAATTTATCATTATAATAGTATCCATTTTTTGTTTGCCAATGAGATGGAGCATAAGATGGATTTGTGAAAAAATTGTCTAATAGATTCCAATCAACTTCTTTTGATATTGTTTTTAACTGAGGATCATAATAACATAACTTTCTCACTGTCAATGTAGCATTCACCATACATGTTTTATTTCTTACAAGTTCACTTTGATTGAACATAAATCGACAAATCACTGGTTGAGTGTTAAATTTTGTATACATAGTATGTATTTCATTAGATGTAGATGAAAAACTTATTGAACTTAGATTAATAAATATTTGAGAATCAACACATTTAGCTTTGAATGAATATTGATGATAAGTATTATTAACTATGCCAGTCAAATCAGGTAATGAATGTGATGAAAGTATGCTTGATTCACATGGATTTTTTATCATTCCTTTTTTCATCTTTGTATAATTCAACATAAGATAAGGATTTAATATCATATCACTCTCAAAACAAGCAACATAAACCTGAGTTTCTTCGATTAAATGAGGAGGATTAGTTTCAAATAATTCAGTCTGATTTGGACATGATATATTCCATTTAGAAACACTATGCCAATTAGTAAAAATGAGATATTCATGTGTAGAACATTTAATTACATTAGGTTCTGTTACAAATAAAAATTTTAGTTTCATTAATGAAGCTGTATGAAAAGAGAAAATATAGATAACATAAATAAATAGAACATAAAGATATTTAGAAATCATTTTCAAACTTAAAGGACAAGAATCAATAATGTATATATGCGCGAAAAAGGATTTGTTTTTTTTTTATTATCAAAAAGTATTTCATCTCTCATGAGAAATAATTCATATGATAATGAAATGTTATTTTGATTAGGAAACTGTTTGAACATCTATGATGATAAATCGATTATGTTTGAAACTCTTCAGAAAAATAGCATAACTATATACTTCATTTGCTTATCTTCTAAATACAATTGAAGTAAATACATGAATCAAATACTGTGGAAGATCACACTAAATAATCAACGCAATATAGAAAAGTTCCAAAATAAAAGTCGAATGGATTGATGTAGAGAAAGACATAACTATTTATGTACACAGGAATAGAAATTCGATCGAAAGTAATTGAGTATTTATCTTTCTCATATGATGACAGTTTGGAAGTCTTTGTAGTTGTCTTTTTTGGTATCATAACTTGTCCCAATATTTATATATTAAAGCAAAAACTATCAAGAGAATACTTCTTATACAGTAAATCATTTCAATGGAGATATTCGATTGATAGTATGAAGAATTGGATAGAAATACAGTATAGTTAAACGTATTCATACATGAATTAATGAACACAAGTACAATGTACTAAATAATAGCTGTAGCAGAGCAGAATATCATGGAATATGAGGAAAGTCAAGTCTCAGAATTATGATCTCATGATAAAGCTCAAGAAAATTCATAGACAAATTGAGCGATAGACCGTCGAGCTAACACATACGTGTTAAAATACGATGCACAGTATTAATTGATAAAATCGAGAAGATGAAAGCATTAGTCAACATGAAACTCGATTGATCGTGGTCAAAGGAAAGTTCATATTTTTCAAAGTTCTTTAAATGAAAGCAGAAAAGGTAGTGAATAAATTGAAGAGCATCAAATGATTGTAATATCACCGGAGTTCACGCTTACGAACAACAAAATAAAGAATAAAAACTAAATAGTAGAGAAGAGAAATGTTTAATGTTTTTTAAAATGATGTCTTTCATTAAACGAGTTGTTAAGCTTTCTATGACGATAGACGAAGATATCAATGTGTCGTTCATTGATTAATGTTGTTCTCTTGCGATTGTGTACATTTTAAAAGACATTATTGTCTATGCTATCGAATAAATCTATTACTCAAAAAGTGAAAGCAACGGATTAATGAATTTGAACACAGAAAGCTTACAAAAAATAAATGCATTGCTATTTTTAGTGAGAGTCGTAAAAATGATGTCAAAACATTCTCTACTGACGCCGTAAGTTTGTCTAGAATCATTCATAAATGGTCCATTGTGAAAACAAACAGTACATAATAGCAGGCTTCCATAGGGCTCAAATTGATTCATCTATTGTCGTGTTAGAAAGTATAAACAAAATTTGATGATGTTTATCACTGAAAGTTATTCAAACATTTATTATTAAGAAATATTCGATTATAATGCAGGTAATCGTCGATGAAAAATGGTTGATAGTTGGCTATTCCTATTCTGTATATGCACTCGTCGCAATACATATTTGAAGATAAGCACAATTAGAAAGATTCATTATACGAAAATGCTGATACTCAATTTCTGAGTTATTCTTAGTATTAAAAAAACGATTGTCAGATAATATTAAAGTTCAATCCTGTAGGTTCGAAAAAAAACTAAACGTCTAACTAGAGACAACATAAATCCATAGTATTCTATGAAAAACGAAAAATATATCAATATATAACAGATGCATTCACATTTTTATTTCAATATTGAATATTGATGTCACTTTGCAAAGTAGAGAAAATTTTAATTATGTATGAAAATATGAACAAATTCCTACTACATGTAGATATTTCCTGTAGACAATTCATAACCTTCTAATTAAGTCAAAGTGAAAACTCTAATATAGTAGATCGACAAAAAAAGAAACATGTGAAACACAATAGTTTATTATGTTCGAAGAGTCTCTTTCTAGTAAACATGCACGAAAATATCTTCTTTTGTTATCAGTGTGCATTCAAATAAACATAATAGGACGTCTCTGGCAACATAGTATTATCTCATTTCAAAGTTTTGTCTTTCATAAAAATGAGAATGTGTGTATTTTGGATTATTACTCTTACTTGCTCCAATGAAAACAGATATGCTAATGAACCTATAGTTGTTGATACAAACTATGGTGATGTGGTTGGGCTATGAAATAGATTTGACTTGTGTTTTCTATGACTAAAAGGTAATATTAAAATGAATCAATATGTGAATTAATTGTATGACCAAGAGTAACTACTGCAAATGAAAAATATATTTACTTTCAAGATTACAGATATAAGCCGATGCATTGGTTGGCAGCGAGCGAAATTTTTCGATGAGTTTTTTAAAAAAAATTTTGCTTAATTTCGAGAAATTTCGAAATAAAAAAAAAGAAGAAGAAATGATGGTAGAATACTTATTTATTAATAATCAAAAATCAAAAAATCATTTATTTATATCCAATCTTATCCCAAAAATCACAATCATTTTTCAAGTAACTTTCTGGAACTTGTAGTGGATCTTGAAAATACATGTATTTTTCATTTCCAGTAGTTACTCTTGGCCATGGTGTTAATACACGTATAGGTTCATTGGGATCTTGACTTTTAGCAAAATTTGTCCAATAAGTTGCCATACTTTGAGATACACGTCGTCCAGCATCAGTAAAATTTAACCATGACGATTCAAATAAATATGGTAATTCAGCACCATGACAAACATATCCATTACAATATGTTTCATTACCCCAACCATCAAAATCAAGTGGATAACCAAATACATAAGAATATGATGCAGCTTTACGTGCAAAAATACGATTTGAACAAGCAAATACCCATTGAGTCGCTATACGAGATAATAATGGTCGTTCATCAAATATACTATCAGGTGGATATCGTTCAAGAACTTTAACAGCATTTTCACGAAATGTACCTAAAATAAGTTCACCATAGACTGTTGGCAATACTGGTTTTGCCCATCCTTCATAAATAAAAAATCGAGCTTCTTCAGTTAATGTACCAACAATAAGTTGTTTAAGTGGAAATGATGTATTATAAACAAGATCAAGAAGTTGACCACGTACAATAACATTATCAATAACTGGTACCCATGGTTCAAAGAAAAGTAAAACTTCCAATGAAGTTATCATATTATTTATAATTTCTTGAGCAATAATAATATCTTCAAATGAAGCACGACGAAAACATGCAATATCACCAAAAGCACAATGAAGTTGTTCTGCAAGAAGAACAGTTGGTGTTACATATTCTAAATATGTTCTTTATATAAATAATAGAAAATCTAGATATATATATATATAATTTTTCATTATAATATGTTACCGAAAAGGAATTGTTAAAGGTGCACTTTGAATAATTGCTCGTTGAAAAAATGGTTGCATATCATTTGTAACATAATGTAATGCAGTTGATTGTCCACCAGCACTTTGACCAAATAATGTTATCTATATTAGAAAATAAGAGTGTAAATATATTTTAATAAATAAAAGTTTTCTAACTTCATTTGGATCACCACCGAATGCATCAATATTTGATTTAACCCATGCAATAGCTAAACGTTGATCGAGAATACCAAAATTACCTTTGATATCATCTGGACCGGTACCAGTTGCCAAAAAACCAAGAATACCTAGTTTTAATAATAAATTGTGAAATTGTTATTTCGTTTTTTTTTTCTTTGCTTACCGAGTCGATATTGAATGAATACAAGAACAACACCAGTTGTATTAACGAAACGTTCAGATTCATAAATTGGTGCTGAAGCATCAAGAAATTGAAAATTACCACCAGTAATAAAAATCATAACAGGTAAAGGCGTTGATTGTAGTGATTGTGTAGATAATGGTGTAAAAATATTTAAATAAAGACAATCTTCAGAGACCTAAACAAATAAAAAAATTCAAAATTAAACATGATATTATTTATATATTTTTAAAATCTAACGTACTATAGCAGGACACAATATAGGAGGAACTTTACATGGTGGTTGTGGACAAGCAGGTGGTGGTATTGTAGCATTTAGTACATTAGGAGACCATTTATCTATAGGTACTGGAGATTTCCATCTACATTAAACATATGAATAAATTCAAAATAAATATTATTAAATCTAATTACCTTAAATTATTAACAGGTGATTGAGCGAATGGAATACCATAGAATATACGAGCTACATCAGTCTCATATCCAATTACATCACCATATTTCGTACTTACGGTGACAGTTCGATTAGCATGAATATTTTGTGTAAAACAAGCCAAAATGAAGAATAGAAACACGCCTATCATTGTTCTAATGCAAAAATAAAAAGAATAATAAAGATATGTAAAACAAAAAAAAGATATCTGGAAGTATATATAATCTGTGGTATTTTTTTTTCTTTTCTGTACTCATAATGAAATGATAAGAGAAATGTAGTTTATCACAAATAAAAAAGTAGAACAACTTTATCACAATTTCATTTCGAAAGTGGTAAAAAAAACAAGGAGAATCATTGTTTGTCTAAAGAATTCTTATCACATATTATAATCAAAGTGTAGAATTAAAATTCGAAAAAAAGTGTTAATATCAATTTAATGATAAAAAATACTTAAAATTTTCTTTTTGTGGAACACAATCTAAAAGAAGTGTTGAAGTATAAGAGTAAAAATCTAGAAGGATGAATACTTCTACCTTGCAATATAGGATGTTGCTTAGTAGCAGATGCAATAGCTTGATATTTTCCCTACAATTAATACTAGCTGTAGCTCTGAACAGAAGGCCAGCCTAGTGCACGGGTATGTCACAACGTAGTCAGCTTGCTACCAGATGGATGATCGGAAACAAACGGCCGTTAGTGACTTGCCCAAGATCGTTTCATAGCTAATGGTACCAAGATTTGAACACAGTATCTTGTGGATGTGTGCCAAATTACGTAACCACTCAATTAGGGCGGCCAAAAATTTAGATCCCCACAGACTGAGACAGACTTTGTTGATATACGGTCTCGTTATTATATATGAACTACTTTATTATTACATTGATGAAGGATTAAGTAAAACGATAATGAAGAAATGTGTCTCAAAATAGATAGAATAAATTAATCACCCGTGATTAGCAACAGCAGCTACATTGTGTTTTACATTTTGATTCTGCAAGGATTGTACTAACAGCATTTGTTTTTAGTCAACAAAATCCTAATTAATAGAAAATAAATTTTCATTGAAAGCGCGTATAGTTTTAACTTGGAAAGTAATTTTTAACTAATTCTTTCTTTTTTTTACCGAATGTCGTTGTATTAACAATAATAAATAAATCTCAATCGAAATCCGATGAGTGAGAAAGATACTATTCATTTTCTATCAAACATTTTATCACGACGTTTTTTTGTTCGTAAACGAAATATAATTGATTCATTATCATATCCTTCAATTTCGATCGCAATAATGACAGAAAAATCAATATTATCATCAAATCAAAATTGTTGTGGAAACGACGAAAAAAAAGTTCAAGTTTCATCAGTTAGAAAGAGTAATCCTCGTCAAACTAAAGACAATATCGTTTCTACACCAAATGAATTTATTATCGAAATACCCAAACAAACAAAACCTTTAGAAGTTGTATCAAATGAAAAACTACCATTATACTATGAAATTATAAGTAATGCATGGCCATTATCAAGTGAACATGTTGAAAATTTGATTATTAGTAATAAGAGATGTCAATTTTCTAATGAAGCAATATCTATAAAACCTATTACAGCAGGTATGTTTATTTATAATTTCTATTTGTTCTCTATATTTGATAATATTTAATGAATGAAATTTTTTTTAAATATGCTTTCGATCAATGTTATCTTTTTTTTTTCTTTTTCAAGTGCCTGGTATAGGCAAAAAATATGGTCAATTATTAGCTGATCATGGATTTATATATGCTAGACAATTACTTGGATATTATATGATGTTAAAAGATAGTGAAATGTTTCGTAAATGGCTTGAATATAAATTCAATATTCCAAGATTTCGAGCAGCTGAAAGTAAGAAAATATAATAAAAAACTCTTGTCATAAGAAATAAAATTTCATATGACAGAAATTAAATGTAGAGAGTGATTCACAAGTAATTTTACGATAAAAAATTTCAATATACCCACTCTGTGTTCCACTCTATAGAGTTAATTCTTTTCCGTAATAGAAAAGATTTCAAAGTTTTCTTTTCCCATAAGAACAACATTTATAAATATTGCTTTGATGTATCATCATTGATTTCAATAATGAACTTCCATCTTTTATAGTGTTGAAGATAATCCTAAAAGATCCACGTGTACATATATTTTTTTCTTCGACTAGAGCCCATCGAGTCCAAAATTTTCGGACTCAGATCCAAACCCAGTCGAGAGAATAATTTCACATTTGATCCGACGGGCTCTATCTTTGATGAATTCATTTGACCATATGTTTCGTTTCGTGATGCGTGATTGTTTTTCTCTCTCGCCATCGATATAGATATCTGTCTTTTCTTAAGTACAATGAAGTGAAAGCAAGAGTTACTTTGATTTATACATTGACTATCCTTCATGCTGACCATTTTTATAGAAGTTTTGGAAAAATATACATTGAAATATTAGACTCATCTCTTATGATTTGTAAGATCATAAAGTTCTTATTAAAAAAAAAATTCTGAAGTCTTCTCTATTACGGAAAAAAGATAAGTCCAATATAGTAGAACAGAGTAGAAATATTTAAAGTTTTTATAGTAAAGCTACTTATGAATCATCCTGTATTCTGATGAATTACAAATAAATAAGATTTAAAATGTAAACCGTATATTCTTCTTTTCTTATCTCCGTGAAATAACCGTATGGTGTAAGCATTTTTCTAAACTCTTCTATTTCGAGATTAAATTTTTTAAAAAAAGCTCTTAGCATAATTCCTGCGGAACTAACATGTGAAACACGATGTAGCTGCTGTTGCTAATTATCGGAAAATCATTTTATTCTATGTATTTTTGGAAACATTTCTTCGCCATAGTTTTACTCAATTCTCCAGAAATGCTATAAGTAGACCATATATTAGAACAAGACGTTATTGATATATTGTCTGCGATCGTATATCAAAAACATCTGTCACAATCTATGGAAGGGAAAATGCAAATTTCTACTATATGCACTTCAACTTTTCTTTTAGATCGAGCTTCACAAAACTAGCGAATTTAAATATAGAATCTGAAAATATTAAGTATTTTAATTTCTATTTTAGTTACAAGTGCATTAAATGAACTTATTCGACGAACATTATAATTATTGAATATTTCATCAGTTTATTTGTTTTATATAATGCTTATCAAACATTTATTACATTACTATGAATAATATTTTATGTACACATATGTAAAAGTTTTGTTCATAAATTGGATATAAAAAAAAACAGATATCTCTATGTTTTAAATAAAAGATAATGGTATAAGGTCAAAATTTATTGTATTCTTTTTTTTGTTGTTGCTTCTTAAGGATTAATGATTAATATGTTTCAGTTTTTTTTTCTATGTATTTCATAAAGAAAGCGGTATTTGAATTCATCGAGAGCGATAAATCATGGGAATTCCAGAACATGCATATGAGATAAAAAAAAACACTCATATTTACATTCCGAAAGATGATAAAAATTCAAACAAATACAAAACTGAAGCGAAGATAGTTCACAAGAAGTTTTATTGAAAGATTGTTAAGAAGGTACATACAATCATATCCATAAGTTCAACAGTTGAATAGAAAAATAATTTGTTTTTGATTATCTTTAAATGACTCTGTCGTATATATTAAAACACAAAGATATACGTACATGAATAAGTATTTAATAATGTTCTATGAGAACAACTTTTCTCAATTTCTGTAAAATTTTTTTTGTTCCCGTTCTCAAAGTCTTCATGAGAATTCCTGCCTCCGATTCCCGCAAGACACTAGTATATTATTGGGTAAAGATTAGATTTAGTTCTATTTTTATACTTAAATCTCATTAATATGAGCTTATTTTAAGAATTAAAAGTGTCGAGTATATTAAAATGGTTACTGGCAATGGAAATAATTCATTATCCGGTATGTTCAAACATCTTTTTTTCTTGTCAAATTCATTACTATCATAGGAAATTGTCATTAAATAAGATTATATTGTTATTCATACAGTCAAGATCATCAAATCGATCAAAACACTTATTTGTCTTTGTAAAAATCATAAAAAATTTTTATTTGTCATTATCAAACAATTACATATAATTTCTACTCTACTACTAAAATACGTGCCACAGTATGACATATTTTGATTATCTTTTGAAGTATAAATAATTATTTCGTGTTTATCTCGTGTTGAAGTTTCTATGCAAATCTTTTCTAGACTGAAATTATAATAGAAAAAACTCATAAACACAAATATCAAACGGCATTTTTTATGCATCTTCTACTCAAATACCATCAATAGTGCAACAGAAGATATGAAGATATCTATTATTAGAGAAAATAAATATAAGCTTATGCTATATTTGTGGTTCAGAAGCACTATAAATAAAAAGCAATGTAATTTTGACAGATGTCAAATTACATCAAGAGAATATACGGCGTGGGTTAAGTATGTTGTATTTTTAATAAAATCATCATAACCAAATTTAATAACAACCAAGATTTATGATGTCAGAGAGAAAAAGAAGTGGGTGAATGTTCCTTTTCAACAATACATAAAATTTTGATTTTCCGACTTTTTTCCATTAATGATTGTCTACCAAAAGCCTTTACGATAAAAAAAAGAAAAGATTTTCTGCAGTTACTTTCGATAAAAACAATTATTTTTACATCGTTTCCACAATATTTAATCTCCCACAGTTCTGAAAACAATCAAATAACTTATTAGCAAAATAAATAGCCATATTAGGCATCTTAGATTTTAATGAATAAAAATAAAAATTTATAGTTTATTATTTTCATCATAAAATTTATTTTGTTGTCAAATAACTTAAAGAACTGTGTTATTTAAGCTAATATACAAACTTTTCATTGAATAGACTAAGCGTAGAACTTATTTGCTCTATGTATGTATATATACGGTTGTGTCAATATTTATATCTTATAAATCCATCAGATTTGTTGAGATATACATATGGAGGAAAATGTCTAACATAAGAATTTTACAGAATCATTAATGAATAATAAACATGCGTTTATGCCTAAGAGTGCATCATAATTAATTGCAACACTAGAATAAACCAACTAAAACGTAGGAAGTTACCAAGAAATGTTGCTCTTCTGGAAAGATAATTTATTGAAATTTTTTAATCATATCTTTTAAGAAAGTTAGTGAAACTATAGTTGATGTTGTTTGTTACATATGAGAAGGATCATATTTTTTATAGAATACGTGTTTTTGTTGTTGTTGTAATCATAAATACAAAATAAATGAATAACAAATCGTTTCTTTTGTTTTTGTTTTTACATTTTACAATGACAAAAAACAAAAAAAAACAAAGTTAATGTGTCTATAGTTTAACATCATACTAATTGGATCAAATATTATTTTCCAATAAAATTTTATGAATAATAATTTTGAAATATTTTTTTTTCATTTCTTTATTTCCATGAGAAGAACAAATTGCATTGAAAATAAACTAAAAATACGATACAAATAAAATTCAATATTAGAAATTTAGTTTTGAATAATTCATTTGCATTTGATGAAATTTCTGACACTGAATGTCTATTACAACCATCAATTGAACATGCCAGACTGCAATAAAAATTTAATGTTGTCTCAACATCTATAGTTGGTGCAGGTGGATCACAGTCATGCGGAACAGAATGCATTTTTGTACAACCACGATAAATTAATACACCTAGAATAAGAATACAGAAGAAGATAATTAAATAAAACTAATTTAATAGAACGAAAGTACATTCGGATAATATGCTTTTTATGTCTAATATTTATAGCATCATTAAAAACTCTAATATATACAGTTTTCTTTAGAATAAAGAATGAGTCTAATATAATCAATAAGTCATCTCATTATAATTCACGCCTTGCAATATAATCAATATTCTAATTTATTCGACAGATTTTCTTTTACAAGACCATATTCATCAAATTTGTTCATAATGTACTTATAATGAAGTATTCGATGGTAGATCAATACTAAACAATGTAAAAAATGACTGTATTTCAACTATAATAAATCTAAATATTAATAAACAAACAAAATCAATATTTCGAAACTATACGTTCATCAAAAGTATTTGTTGATCAAATAGAGAAACATTATAATTTACAATCAGTACATAGATATGAAAATAAAATTTAAAAAAATTTTACAAAATAAATTATTTATCAGCAAACGATAATTAACAAAAAAAACAATCTTGCTTAAAAAAACATGTCACTTCAACTGATAATAACATGTTACTAATGATATACTCAACATACATAATAAAGAAACTGAAGATATTTTTTTAATTCCATCTAATGTATTCTACACCTCTATTCAACAATGTGTTAATAAAAGTTTTCTTTTTTTTTCACTGATTGCAGATTAATTATGTTGTATATATCTTACCTGCACTTCCTCGTTGACCTAGTCTATAAAGAGATGATACACATTGTTTAAAAGTTGATGCTGATATATCAATTGATCCTTCACATGGTAATGGTAGTAAAGTACCATCTAAACATGAATGATCCCAATTGTGTGAAGAACGTCGAATAGGACTTGTACATTGAAGACATTCAATTTGATAACCTCAAAAAAGAAAAAAACCAAAGCAAATTTAGCATTATTATAATATATTTATTTCTTATTTAAATCGACTTACTAGTTCGAATTAACCATCCGATAAAAATAAAAAGATACCGGTTGATATCCATATATATTTCAATCAATTATCATAACATTTATTTGATTTAATAACTAAAAACAAAATTAAGAAATGTAAAAATAATTTTTTTTAATCTTTTCTCTCTATGGACTTCTTCTGTTTTCTTTTTTTTATTGTGACACTTCATTCTTAAATCTTTTACACATGTAGAAAGAACATAATATGCATTGCAAATATGCGAGAAAAAAAAAATCTTAGAAAAAAAAACCTAGAAAATAACACTCTCTTTTCTTTTCCTTACTTACATCTTTGCATTATCTATATCGACAGAAATAGGCGAATACTAGCTAGGTTTTTTTTCCTTATGGCCAAGATTAATAGATGATTCTTTTTTTACATGACATAAAGAGAAAACTGACAAAACTATCGAAACTAATCAATTATGATTTTTATTTTTGCTTTCACATCTTTCATCTCTATAACAAACTTGAAACCAAAAACAATGATCCTTTACTTCTATTTTGATTATTTTCATATAAAAGATTATGACGTCTAACCTATTGCTTATTGATATTATATCGTATAACTTTTGTCAAAAAACAATTCTTATGAGAATTATTTAGATGCTTCTTAAGAAATAGACGAAAGTAAGAAAGATTTTTTTTTTGTTAAGAGTTTTCTTTGTGATAAATTATATTTTTAAAAATATTCTCAAATGCACGAAAATGGATGCAGACATCACATCAATAGAATATTATTTTTCTTACTATAAATTCATGTATGAAAAAACTTTTTATGACATTGAATATAAATATTCTGATCTACTACTGAAAAAAAAATATATATATTCAACTTTAGGAAGAACTGATTAATACTTTGAATTTATACAGTAAAAGAAAAACAGGAGAAGAGAAACAAAGAAAGTGTAGTCTATTTCCTGTCACGTAGAAAATGGTAGCTACTTAATGAATTCGATGCATTTGTTTTTCCTTTCGTTCTTCATTTAAATTGTGATAAAAATGTAAGTAAATCTATCCTTTGTTATCTATGCGTGATTCCATTATGAAGACAAATGGTTGCTCTTTGGACTCATACATCATTAAAATCAAATTAATTTATCAACTTCGTTGAATATGTTTGTCACGGTATAAAAGAAGCATTCACTTAACCAAACTATCGTGATATAGCATATTAAACAAATAATGAACTAGTGTTCTTTGGACTTATGGTGAATTGTTTGCGTGACAAAGTAAAAAAAAAACATTATTATATTAAACATACTCGCTTGTTCTATTTCATAGGTTTAATTCTGACGATTGACAGATCAAAATGTTAAACACAATTTTACTATTGTTTAGATGAAATATAAATATAGAATGATGGCATTTTTCTTTCTCTTAATAATCTTCTCTATATTATTCTATATAGAACAATGTTCTGATTTTTGTTTCTTTTATTTCATCCAACAATATTATTTGTCTTTTATGACGTTAGCACTTTCTTTGTATACAAAGAAAATAGAAATAATTAATTGAAGCCTACTCCAAAAAAAAAAACAAATTCTTCTTCTTCGTTTTTTTATTTAATAACGAATATACCCTTCGAATTGTTGATACTGTAAAAAAAAAAAGCAAAGAACTCTTACAGCAAAAATGCGCTTCAATATAGGTAAATATTATAAATGCTTAGTTGATACTTGAATGAATACTTAAAATAAAATGTAAATAATTTAGATAAAGAACGTATGATGTCATTTTTTTTTACAGACTTCAAAGTCACCCATATAAAAAATCAGACTATCGTTTCTTAACGTCAGAAAAATCATTGGTTCGTTTATAGTTGTTAAAAGAAACGAGTGGAGAGTATGTTCATTTAAATAATAAGAAAACATGTCGGAAATGACAAATACAATGCTATTTATAAAAAAGAAGAGAGCTATTTTTTAAAAACATCCGCTTGAATACGATAAATAATTACTTTTTTCTTCGGTTAAAAAAACATCTTATGAATTTAGATCAAGAAATTAAAAGAAATATGAGTATAGAGTTTTTTTTCCAATACAATGATTTGATAATGTTAATAGAAAATAAATGAGAAACTAATTTTCAATTTTGGATCTATTATTATTTCTCCTAGAAAAAACAAAATAATTAATGTTTTCTTAATTAAAATCGTTCAACGTCATATTATTTCTACATGATTCTGGAATATATCAGTCAAATTCACATTTTTTACAGTAATTAAAAGGGAATGCTTGAGCATATGTAAAAAAAAACTTAATAATAAAAGAAAGAAAAACATGCAATATCAACTTTAGTTTTATAATAAATCCGAAATTTTCAAGTTTTTATTATGTACGCTCATCATCAACAGAGATGACAAACATAATAAAGAAAACTTTAGTATAGATAAAAAAAAATATAAAACGAGATGATAAATAACCATAAAAAAACTAATCATATACTAATCATAACTAAAATAATCCTATAATATAGAATAATTCTAATATATTACTGAACGAAAATGTAAATATATATAACTATGTTGATATTAATTTAATCTCAAGTCTTTGTATTATATTAAAGTAATTAACCCTTTACCTCCTGATATTAATCTAACAGAGTTAACGTCGTGTTAACTACAGGAATAGATCATGTAAGTGCTCAATATCTCACTAGTATGGTTTCATTCAAGTGAAGTCATTTCATTGTAGAGATATAGAATGGATCGAAAATAAATCAATAAGTAATAAAAGGTTAAGTATATAATAAAGAGCGAATAAGCATTTAATATTTTAATTATTGTTTGTTACAGGATTATTGTAGTTGGCGATTATTGATTATATTTTGTGATTAGTATACGATAATTTTCATTATTATTTGTGTATGATTAGGTTTTTATCTATGGTTATTTATTATCTTGTTTTTCGCATGTTTTCTATCTATACTAAAGTTTCCATTAATGTTTGTCATTTCTGATAATGATAACTTTACATGATAAAGGTCGAAAATGATATATGTACGACCAGACGAGACATCTGCTATGTTCTGAGATTTTTTCACAATAGATGTAGCATGAAAGGTCATGTTATTCTAAATCTACCGAAGTGGATGGGTTTGAATTTTATCAATGATAGAAACTCGATATGGCTTATCGGTTTGTGTGTCTGAGATAAATGTATATTTCGACGTTGAAATAGACGAATTTCTTCTATTCATAAATATTTTTGATATTGAATACTGTAATTTTATGCGCTTACCTTTGGTCTAAGAAACGTATATAGATATTTGATAAATTCTCGTTCTCGACTGACAAATCTATAGATCAAAATGTGGTAGAAACGACATTGGTGAAACTAGCTCTTATAATAAAGGAAATGCTTTTTCTCTGTCAAAAAAAAACAATTATACATTCATGAAACTTTCTCAAAAACTACATCATTATTTCATTTACAAAATCTTTTTTTTCAAAAAGTTTGGAAAATTATCCAAATTGGGAGTTTTTGTTTTGCATTTATGTAGTAAAGTATCGCTTTTTTTTAATGAATTTCAGGCTGTTGTTCGACCATTTACGAAAAAAACCAATGTTTGAAAACAAAATTTCGATATTAAAATCAAGTTCAGTATCACAAACTGAATTGAATGACATATGTTTCAACGAAAAATATTTTCCTACGAAAAGAAACTACGGAGAGAGGGAGAACATGGGGAAAAAATTTGAAAAAAGTATGGAGGGACAGTATAGAAGTCTTCACATCAAAAAAATATACTATTCGATTCAGTTTTTTATGCTAAACTAATTCCACATTTCAATAATTTTTGAAGCTTTCTAAATAAGTTGCGTTTGTTAGATGAAATAATGGTGTAGATGTTGTTGGAAAAGTTTCATGAATGTATAATTTTTTTGTTGCAGAGAAAAAACGGCCGCACTATTGAGAGTTAGTTGCATCAATTTCGTTTCTATCACATTCTGAACCATATATTTTCCAAATGTTTATATTTATTTTGTAGAGTAAATAAAGACGAATTGAATCACAATATTCAATATCGAAAAATATTTATGAATAGAAAGAAACTCAATGGTCTTAATGCTTAAATATGTTTTTATCCTGAACGCATAAGTCGATGAATTATATCAACTTGAAGATTATCAGGGATAATCTTCAAATTTCCCATATATCTAAATGCAGAATGACATAATCTTTCATGTTTTATATATTTTAAATAGTTTTTCGCGTGTGGCAGATTCTTTCATATTTATTATAAAACTAAAATTTATATTTTATATTTTTTTTTCTTTCATAATTAAATTTTCTATAGCACAGTTGAACACAAGTGACATCTTATAATATAGTTCAGTATTGGTTCTGTTTAAGAACTCTTGAAATTTTTTTTTAGTTTAAATAGAAACAACGGATTTTGTGTTTGTGAATGTATTAATTATTAAAAATCATCATGGAAAAATTTCTTCTATTGATATTATTGACGCATAAAATATGCCATGCTTCATTAAATCATTATTTAAAAATGCCAAAAACTGATGTTGTTGGTCATGACATTGCTTATTTTGAATGTGGTGAAGGTATATTTTAGTGATATTAACTTAGTTTTTTTTTTAATTCTGTATTTATTACTTATTTAGGTTATGAAATAAAATGTGATATAGAAAAATTAGCTGCACATTGTAATTCAAATCCATATTGTCATGGATTTAATACAAATGGTTTATTAAAATCATGTACATCTGGTTGTGATGTTGGTTGTTGTTATGACGTAACACAAAATGCTGATTTATATATTCGTAAAGGTTTTTTACCTCCAGATGATTGGCTAAATGATATAAATAATGGACGAATATTATATGCTAATCCAGAACCACATTTTTGTTTTTTACCGGAAATTGCTAATGGATATCTTGGTACTGTTGCTATGTCAGCATCATTATTTCAAAGTGGATTATTTAATGGAAAAGTAAAGAACAGTAAAAAAAAAAAGAAGAAAAAGAAAACAACAACCTTGAATATCATTAACCATTTATTCCCTATTGGCA